GGGCAAATCAGGCACCAGGATACTCAGCGTGGGCCTCTGCTGGCTCCCTAGGTCCCCTCTCCTCGCCACTCCCCCTTCCCCTCTGGGCTGTGGCCACACACCCAGCCTGCATCCTGCCCCTCTCTGGGTTAGCAGCAGGGTGGGTGTGGAGCAGGGCTCCATCATCTCCTGGCTCTGTCACTGTCACCATCCCAGGGCCTCTCCTCCATGGTCCTCACGTCACACAAAGCCACTGGAGACAGAGGATGCCCCAGTCGCCCAGTTCCTCATAGCAGAGAGCAGAGGTCACCGCCCTTGGGAACAAGCGGGAAAAGGAGGCCGGTGAGGGGAAGTTCCCGCTCAAGGCCACCAGGAAATGTCACAACCTCATCACGTCTTCAGTGGCGGATTGGCTGAGCCTGGTGGCCAATTAACCAGCGCCTGGGGAGTCAAGGTATAAGACAGCGGTTCTGCCCAGGGGAGGAGGGGGGTGCAGGGGGCGAGATGACCCCAGGAGGGAAGGGACTTGAGACACTCAGGGGAGACAGCAGAGCGCATGGAGGATCAGAACCACTCACTGGGCCACGGGGCAGTCGGACCTGCCTCTGAGGGTCCCCAAGCCTCACCAACGCCTCCCAAGCCTCCTCTCCTGGGGTCATCGTCCTGGACACCTGCGGCTGCTCCTGCCACCCAGGCACAGAGGGGAGCCACCTCAGCCGGGGCTTTGTCCCTCTGCAGAGGTTGACTCCAGACAGTGCTGCCCGGAGCTCTTCCTACCCACGTCCCCTGGCCGCAGCCCAGTCCAGGCCCTGGAGAAGGCTCCAGACGCCCTGTCCACGCCAGCACACCAGCCTCTCCTGGCCCCCTCCAGGCTCTGGTCCTGGCCCAGCCCAGTTCTCTCAACCCAGCAGAACCTGCTCCACCCACCCTCTGTCCCACCCCCCGTCCCTCCACGTCCTTCCCTGCCCACCTTGCACACCCCCTGGCTCTCAAGGCTGTTGATGCTCAGGCCAGAGATGCTCTCAACTGTGCCACACGACAGTCCCCCACCTCTGGTCAAGCCCCGACACGTGACCGCCCAGTCACACAGCCGCGAATCACACACACCTGAGCCAACCTGAGCCCCGAGGGTCCTTTCCAAAGGCCCGGCCACCAGGGCAACAGTAGCTCCTCTCCTTCCTCTGCGTGGTCAACCTGTCCGTGCCGTCGGTGGCAGGCCCACAGAGACCAGCCACGCAGAGTGCTGACCAGAGCCCGGTCCAGGTGGGCCATGTTGGCTGTCGCTGTGGTCCCCACATGGAGCCCCCCACACTCCTGGGCGTGGTGGTGCCTCCCAGAAACAGAGCCTTGTTCCTCCTGTTCCTGCTGAGACTCTGCCTGAGCCCTTCGTCCTAAGGGCCATACCCTTCAAGGTACACTGGACCCGAGACCCTCACCCGGGGCCCCCAGTGCACGCGGTTCGCAGAGCGGCTCAAGCTGGCCTCCCACTGCTCCGCCGGCCTCCTCGCCTATTGAGTGTCCAGGTGGTTGTGGTGTCTGCTTTCTGGTGGGCAGCAGGCCTGCCCTGCTCTGAATGACCACCGAGTCCCTCCATGTGTAAAGCACTAGTTTGCCCCGAGGACAGGTGCTAGGTCGGATGACTCCCCTCCTCGCTGTACAAGTAAACAGCCACCCTCTGCCTGGCACCCCGAAGGCACACGCTGGCCAGTCACCTGTATGTGCCACCTTATCAGGGACACCCAGGTCAAGCAGCACCTGGACACACGGACATGCGAACCATATCAGGAACACCAGACCTGGGAACTTTTTAACATCACCAGACAGGACCCCTCACTCGAGGCCCCAAAAGGGGGACACCCCCCACCCACAACTGAACCTTGACCCCATCATCTGGCCACTCATCATGAGCCTTGCCAGGAAACTCCCCACAGAGAGGAACCTCTCTCATTTCCCGTCCCCACGGGGCTTCCGCACAGTGTGGTCTCTTCTGCTGGGATGCCCACACACGGCCTCCAAGCTCACACTGACACCGGAACTGCGGTCAGTGCAGATCCTCTGCTCAGACGTCCCGCTGGACTGGCTCCTTAGAATCCTTCTCTGACCTCCGCCAGTGACCAGTGACCCTGACTCTGCACCCTGTCTGCTGTGCAAGCCTGCAGCCGCTCTGACCCTTTCTTCCTCTGTCTGTGACCTATTTATACGTCGTGGTGTGAAGACTGACGCAGGCCAGGGACCCCCCACCCAGAAGACCCTGCCAGAACTAAGCTTCCCCAGAGAGCTTCATAGATTCTGTCTGGCAGACCTGTTCCTAGACCGTCCGCAGGAACTCCTAGGACAGGCTTCAGGTGGAGGGAGTGTGTGCAGAGACAGAGTGGGATGAGGGACCCCCGGCCTCCAGCCTGGGTCTGGGTCGACCAGAGGCCTCTGCACTGCACCTCAGAGGACGAGAGTCAGGTCCTGGGAGCCAGCTGGTGGGAAGAAAGGGGAGAGGGACTCTCCTCCCCGGACAGAGAGTGTCCTTGGCCTAATTGGTGCTCAGAAAATGAACTTGTGAATTTCTACAGATTGTGAGCCTCTGAGCTCCTCCCCTTACACACTGGGTATAAAGTTCTAGAATTTTCTGAACTCAGGGTTCCAAGGCGTGATTCGATGGAGGCAAAAAGCCATGCTCTTGAGCCTGGCCGCAGCCAGTAAGCTGCTTCCCGCTGTTCCTTGGGTCCAGCCTTGTCTGTCTCCCTTCAGGGTGTGACCTGGGGTTCAGATAACAGAAATTAAGATTAAAATCAAAGCACCTGTGAATGCCTGGCTGTGACACCAGGGGACCCCGAGTGTTCATGAAGTGCCACTGCTGAAGGAGGTGTTGCCTGCCAATTCACTGCTGCTCAATAAAAAGAGACACAGTGGAGACACAGACGTGGGTCTTCCTTGTTAATACACAGCACCCTCACGACACCGTCCACCTTGGCTCTCGCGTCCAGGAAGAGCACCTGCCTCACTGGCGGCTCCTGCCATGTGACACCCAGGG